TAGCTAACATTTTCATATTATCATCCTAAAATATATTATCCTAATCACCTGAAATACATTTCAAACGATTTTCACGAATGTCATAAACGTATTGTAAACATTTATTCGCAGAGGAAAGGATTGGATAGATTTGTTTTATTGCTATATGTTCTAAAAATAGAAAATTTCTTGGGGCAAGAGTGGATAAATATTGACAGATTTTTGAAGGAGCTTGTCTATTTCCATCAGCAATTTTTCTTCATTTTTAGGCTATTTTCCTTTAAAATATAAGAGGCCATACGTTATTACAATTTATTCACGGTTTTAATGAAACTGAATATTCAAAACCATTAAGATTTTAATAAATTAATAAGATTTAATTAATAATTGGGGCATGGCCAGCACCGATCGAGTGTCGTTGAAAATTGACATCGCTGTTTTCCCTGTACATAAATATATGCAAACAAGCGATTCTTTTTGAAATATCGATATGTTTAACGGATTAAAATGAAGAAATTACAGTGTTGCCGACTTGCAAAGTCGCCACTTCACCGATCTTATGTTGCGTTCATTATAGCATATTCACTACACAATTAGTAACAAACAACATAAGTATCACAAAGACAATTTTCCGACTTAAGAAAATACTTAACACTTAAAAACTATAACTTACTATAAACTACTACTAAACTATACTTAATACTTTAACTACTTTTTCACGAGAGCCATGGAAAACACGGAGTTTTATGGCGAATAGGGTTTATCTCAAAAATAAGTTACGCCCATACGTCATAAAGTCTCTGTATATTTGAGAATAAGTTGATGTAATACGAAACTGATAAACATATTCGTGTTCTTGTGTTACTTTTGGTTAATATAAGAAAGGACAAGCAAACCAACACAAATTTTGGCAAAGTTTGCGGTAAATTTAGCGCAGAAAACAATAGAGTGACTACTTCCCATATTAACCAAACTTTCAAGTTGTTTCTCTCTGTTTATCTCTTTAAATTATGTATTTTACACTTTTATGTAATCAATGGGTTGCTTCTATTGATTTTATATATATATTTTTTTTAGTAACTACATTTCTTTTTGGAAACAAGAATGACTCCAACGGCGCTCATGCAGCATGTGATTTTAGTGACATGTGCTTTCATGATCAGCCGAACTTTTCCGCAAGCGCTAGCAGATTGGGTGGACGAAGAAAAAAAGAAACTTGCGGATAGTTTGAATGCAGAGAGCGAAAATTTGCACAAGCCACTCCCACCAAAGATGGAGGAAAACGATTTTCTTGGGACGCATCATTCACAGGTTGAATATTTCGTCGTTTATTTTGCTCACGTATACTCATGAGACAGATAATTCCGGCAAAAACTTTACTCATCATTATGGGAAAAAAATAATTGTCTAGAAACGAACATTCTCACTTTCAACTGGGTAGACAGGCCGTCGGCGGACAAAATTTGGCAGTTCAAATTTGAGTCCCTTCATACTGAGAGTGAAGACAATACGAATCCATTTCTGATTGGTTCCCGTATTTCAGGCCTCCACAGTGTCACAAACGGACATAAAGATTACATTTTCACCAATTGCAAAGATTATAAACTGGAATGGACCGGGGCATTAGGGGCACGGCAAGGAACCAACAGAATGAGAGAGGAGACAAAGACAGGAGTTCTGGAATGAGTTGATCAAAGATTACGGAAAACGTTCAATTTGTGTAATCTCTCCTCCCGTTTGTGACATTCATGAGATGCGTTGTCTCAACTCTCCCTATAAAGGTACTCAAGTTCAAATAAGAAAAACAGATGAAAACCGAGCTGTTTTCGTATTATTTGTAGCGTGTATAAACATTGCAATTTGTTTTTTACGTGTTTATACTTTGAAACTTTGTCCATATTATGAAAAAAAATCTAGTAAAGGCATCCTGCGATGTGAAACTGATGGCAAGTTTGCAACAAAATAGAATAAAAGAAGTATAAAATTACAAGCCCACCTAGAATATTTCCTATATCATCATTTCTTTGTTAAACAGTTTTGAATTATTTTGACTTTAAGCTCATTTTATTCTATTTTTTCATTCTTGTTTCATATTTCCGTTTCTTGCCATAAGGTTTCCTTCTTTTAAAAAATTTTTCCTCTCAATATTTATGCTGGCAAATCGTAAGAAAGATGAAGAACTTTATTTCAGGGCCTGAAAGAATTTTGACAATTCATAAAGTTTAATTCGAAGATGATTTTTCAGGATCTCGTTTCTTCAAACTCAGAATTTGCCAAAATTCGGCACAGCAAAGCCTTTGTAGATAAAACACTTTTCCTCTACGAATGGCTGAACTTCCGACCAAAACGTTGGTACGTGACCGCACCCCCTGGCTTTGGCAAGTCCGCCCTGGCAACGATGGCCGTCCAATTTCTGAACGCCTCTTTCGAAATTGTAAATGGGACGACAAATTTCCATGACAAATACATGACCGCTGCTTACAAACTCTTCCAAGGCACGAACATTTTCGAGATGAACGAGTTCATTGACGAGCAATTCCACAAGTACGCTGTCATATACATCGATCTAGCCCCTTTGAGTAACACTACGGAAGCGACCTTTACAGAGATGGACGACTTCCATTCGAAGGACTTCCACAGATACTTCAAGATGGTAATAAAGAAGATGATGAACTATTATCCAACCCTCCTTCACCATCCGCGCCTATCGGATGCCGAGAAAAGAAGTTTGAAAGGGTATCTAGAAAACGGGATGGACCCTGATGTGGGCCCGCCTAAATTTTGGAATAGTGCAGCGTTTCTCAGGTATCTCCTGAAAAGATACTTAAGACTGGATGTCATCATTATCGTAGATAATTATGATGCATTGTGCAGACCTGCAATCTTTGGAGATTTTCATCGAGTGCAAAGACCCTACTTAGCGTCGTACCTCATCAATTTCAGTGGCATGATAACTTCAAATACCCAGACAACGATTCTGTATCTCGGATCGTTCAACACCATAGAACTGATGCTTAAACAACCGGGTCAATTAGGGTTTCACAAGTTGGCAAATCCGATTACACATACGCCGTTTTCACACGAAAAGAAACTCGCGAAGTACTTTGGATTATCCAAGCAGGAAGTTACTGACATTTTATCCAAGTACTCGATGGAGGATCACTTCCAAATAGTCAATGACCTTTTGAACGGACACGCAGTTTCAAAATCATCTCTGACTCTGTTCAACACTAAATCTGTGCTTTCGTACATCGAGAATAGAAATTATTCACCCAGCGCCCTCATAATGCCTTTGACTGCCGAATTCCTGAACCACTATAGAAGAATGTTTGAAAGCGAATGGGTCGTTGATGTTGTGGCCCAGTGTATATACACTGATAGAGCAAAGATCAAGATACCACCGGTTTTGAAAATAAGTTTTGCAAGCTTTACAAGAATTACGCACTTGATTAGTAATTTGACTACAGCTCGTGGTATAAAAAGCCTGAGTATAGAGCATGCCACATCATTCATTATATTTTTAAGATTTCTGGGTCTAATATCGACTCGTGACGAAACAGCTAATGTGTACAAATTAAGGACATCTAGTCGTATTGATGCCGAGATCATTAATGACTGCGTTTACCGTAGTGGTAGTATACAAAATTTATTTAAAATTAGTGCAGAGGACGACCTGGCGATGGTTGCCGCCGTAAAAGGCCTAGCTCCAAATAACGATTCAGTGCAGTCCTTTGGCGAGGCTATCTTTAGAATCGTCAAATTAAAAGCTCCTGAGGCCGAGCATCAGCTGAAATCTTTAATTTATGTGTATTCAAAGAAGGTTGCGGTTGAAAAGGGTGAAGACTACTCAATGGAGGCTGGAATTACAGCCCCCCTGGTGAGTTATGTCAAACCGACTGGAGAAGGAAAACTTATTGTCAACAAAAGGATGGATATAATTTTGGTCCAAAAAAAGAAAGGAATTGGGGTCATTATACAACCCAGATTGCATTATAATGCAACGTCTGTTTTAAATTCAATGTCTAATTTCGAATATTTCAAAATATTTGACTCTGATCCTCGCTTTTCAAAGCTCAAAATCAAAGATAGGCTTTTGATAGCAATTTCAGTTACACCTGAGAAATCAGTGGAAATTGCAGCAGAAGCCTGGGACTATGACAGAAGAACTTTTGTAAAACATATAGTATTGAACATGTAATGCATGTCGAGTTGATTATGATATAGTTTTAGAGACCATTGCCAAAACATGAATGTGCTCTGATTGTTCCTTCTATGTGAATCTTTAAGTGTTTTCTAATAAAATTGTTGCAAAAAAATATGATTTTCGCTTATGTATAATCGATAAAAATAACGTAATTTTTTAAGATGACCCAAAAGTTCGGTCGATTTTTAAAAATTGAGCCTTGTCCAGCTGGGGCACCAAAGTGACGCCGACCTCTCAGCCTGGAAAGTCAGAATCAGCGAAAAAACCAAGCAATTACTAAAGCATTTGCGAACCGGTCAAACAGATTCCATTGAGGTTTTTTTCGACTGAATAAGAGTCAATACATCATGAATGTTCGGTGAGCAATTAGAGGACCCTACGAGGTAGTATCAACATTCTCAATGCTATTGATACAAATATTTTAACTCCCGTGTGGGTGGTGAACTTGGTGAAGTGTCACTCAAAACTGAAGGCGTTTTTGACTGGTGATAACAGAATACCGTTAACTCAGAACAAGGCCAAAAATCCAGGGCGCCTACATCTTTTAATGTATGCAATATGACTATCCTAAGAGGACGAATAGTTGTATCTAGGCGTTATACCATCGAAACATCAATGTCCCCCTGTATTCTCTCATTTTTAGTGGGTGTGTAACGCGGGTATTCTTCAGGCGCAAACAGCTAGGTTTATGGGAATTTGACCCGAACTTATTCACGTAAAATGTGACTGTCTTCAGCAAAGGAACTTCTCACGAAAATAAACTTTTGGGATCTACTCTCCTGGATAATTGCCTCTAAATACAAATCCATTAAAACGTTGTTAAGTATAAAAGAGGTGTCATCAGCTAAGTTGGAATTTGTTTACATTCATCCTGTAGGCGATCGAGGATTGACCGCGGCCCGATCGTGAGCATGGTCAATCCTCGATTCCTATTGGACGACTGCATTGCGGTCGCTTGCAGATGAAATGTAAACATGTGCCAACTCAGCTGACGACACATTTAAACATGTGGCCCGAACTGTCAGTAACAGGGTGGTAGAGAAAAGCTGAGTCCATACTTTTCTGCTAGGAAATCAAGGCCGAAAAATTCCGAACATTTTCATGAGACTCAACAATTTTAACTCGAATTAATAATAGCGCTTTCACTTTAGTATTGCCGTGAGATTTATTAAAGTTCAAATTTTGGAATCAAATGAAAATTATCGGTCTTTTCCCCCGAAAAACTATTTGGACTCAGCACCATTCTCATCCTGTTGAGAAATTGGTTAAATTCCTTAATCATACGGCGAGCATACAAAAACCCTTATCAGTGACCATTGATTTGATAAGATTTCATAGATTCGTTGAAAGTAAAACAAAGTATAGTGCACCTGCATTTCCAGGGTCCAAAAGGTATGCTGCACTTCCGGTCAAGTTCATAATGTTCCTTCGATTCTTTGTCCCAAACGTGAAACTTTAATAGTATGTCATCTAAGTTTGTTTTGTACTTGTATTTTTTCTTGGTGTACGAATCATATTGTTTATCATTCTCAAACAGATAAATAAATGACATTTGAGCGAAACAAATCACTGCAACGGTGAAACAGTTCTGTCCCCACTAAATTGGAAGTGTGAGTGTTAAAATTTCCTCAAAATATTAGATTTTGTTACTCCAGCTATTCAATTTTCACTTATAAATATGCGTGGTTACAAAACAACTTATCTAACTAACATCCTATCTAACTTGACACCAGCCTAACCTCAAAAATATGTCGTAAGGGTGGTATATTTTGTATATTTTGGTGGTGTATTTCTTCCCTATTTACAAAAATCAGTTCTATAAAAATGTTCCTTCAATTTGTTTGTCCACCACCTGCCTTTCAAAAATCAGCAAACAGAATTGTCATTTGCCCATGAACTTTCAAAATAACTACAAATCACAAACATTGAAAATATTCTAAAGAGGATTTTTACAAATATCACCCATTAACTTGGACAGTTGGACGAATTTCTGGAAAACGGAACTGTGTACATTAAGATGTAAGCCCTGTTATGCATGTATTCTTATGGGTCTCAGGGCTCATGTTTTAATGCACATAGTTCCGTTTGGGGGACATATGTCCAATTAAAAGTGAGCTTTCAAAAATGATTTTGATATTTTAAATGCAGATCATTCTGTGTAGTTGAATGCTGTCATATTATTTTGATGTGAACACATTCAGAACAAACCCCGCACTTACTGAAATTATACAACCTTTAAGAGATATACCCTCCTTAAGATTATTACATTTCGCATTGCTCAGAAGTAAGAACGTTTAGCTCATTTTCAATATGCTTTTCGATTTTTCACTAAATTTTGCGAGGTGAATTTTCGTGCTATTCCAGTGGTATGAAAATAAAAACGGCGAACTAATTTGAAACGCAATATGTTGACAGCATTACTATCTAGTTTACGTTTTTAACTCCACTTCCATTATATTTGGTTGTAAATAAACTCATTTTTAGAATTGAGGACTGCAAGAGAAGACATGAAGTTTTCGACAGCACTTTGGTGGGTTTTTTCGATCGGCCTATCCTTTTCTTACGCACGAGTAGAGTGGATTTCAGCGACCAATTTGGACACAAATGACGATACATTGTACGAGTCGATTGCGTCACTGGCAGACGTACAAAATACAGAAAAAAACTCAAATTCAAAATCTTACGCACCGGACAAAAGTGAATCTAGAATGCAACATCATTCAATAGTTAAGTACTCTTTTGTTGTTATTGACTTTTCTCTTTCCTCAGCTTACGGAAGCTTTTTCGAGAGAGCAAAATAATTATCTGAAGGCAAGAACGCTCTAGCGGCATCCTCTCAGTCGACCTAATTTCACCTACTTCCTAGCTGCATTTTTTAGATTACACAATTTCCTTGATGAACCTTCCATTGCCAGTAAATAATGTATTTTCTAGAACATTGTAATGGCTAATTTTTATAGTTACATCCATGCAAATGTACTGAGTATTTACAGTAAGAAATACTGACACATCCAAAGCCAGCATACATTTAAATTTTAGGATTCATCCAAATTTTTCCTCTGCAATCAGCCTCTCTTTTGTAAAATTCCTTCTATGCGACATTGGCGTTTATGCTTCTCACTCTGTATCAATGACGAACAATTTTCAATCACAGTTCAAAAAACACAGTTTCAAATTTCAATTTCCTGCGACATTCCTGAGGTGCATCGCACTTGATGCAGTTCACAATCGAACTGTTTGACACACGCGTGTTACTCTTCCATGTGGCTGGAATTTGCAATTAAAATACTGACTCCTTTGTACAATTTTGCGAAAAACACAATGGCGCTATGGTTTCCTCTGAAACGAACTCGAAAGTCCCAAAAGCTGTCAAAGTTGAGGCCGTGATGGAGGGGATATCCCACGCTCTACGCTAAGGGTCCAATATCAAGTCAAACTCTCTACGCAAAGATTAGGACATGGAGGAAGGAAGGATAGAGAGGATTGATATAGAAGTGGGCTCGCAGGATAGCATGGGATATCCCTCCATTACGGCCTCAGCTTTGAGAGCTTATTTGAGCTTTAGAGTTTTTTCAAAAAACTTAGTGGTATCATTGTGTTACTCGCGAAAGTTTACATAGTAATTAGTACTTAGATCACAAATCCCTCACATATGGAAGAGTTTTATTTGGAGGATTCATAAATATTAAACCAGCTTCATCTCATTTTCAGGGTCTCGTCCCATCAAGCTCAGAGTTCTCCATCATCCGGAACAGCAGAGCTTTCGTTGACAAGACACTTTTCCTCCACGAGTGGCTGACCCACCGGCCAAAGCACTGGTATGTAACAGCACCTCCTGGTTTCGGCAAGTCATCCCTGGCGAAAATGGCCGTCCAGTTTTTGAACGCCTCTTTCGACATTATCAACGGAGTAGAGAAGTTCCACGAAAAAAATAAGACCGTGGCGTATGAACTTTTTAAAGGCACCAAAATCTTTGAAATGGAAGAATTTTTTAACAAACACTTCCAGAACTATTCTGTTATATACGTTGATTTGACTCCTTTGAGCAACACCACGGAAGCTATCTTTCGGAAAGATGATGACTTTCATACGCAAGACTTCCACGAGTACTTCAAGATGGTAATAAAGAACATGGTGAGCTATTATCCATCCCTCCTCGTCCACCAGAACTTAACATATCCCGAGAGAAAAAGCTTAAGAGAGTATCTTGAACAAGGAATGGAGATAAGCAATCCACGCCCGGCTTTGTTCTGGAATAGCGTGTCATTCTTGAGGAACCTCCTCAAGAGATGCCTGAAGAAAGATGTCGTCGTGATCATGGATTCCTATGACGCATTATGCAAACCTAGTATGATCGGAACATTTGCAAAAGTATTGAGGCCCTACTTAGCCTCCTACATCATTAATTTAAATAAAATGATAGTGCAACACATACCAACAATAACACTGTATTTCGGATCGATTAACACCGTTGAACTGATGCTTATGAAACCTTCTAATTTAAGCAATTCGAAATCGCCGGATATCTTGCATACGGCCTTCTCAACCGATGAACACATTGCCAAGTACTTTGGACTATCTCGACGAGAAGTTGCAGACATTTTGGTGAAGTTTTCAATGGAAGATCACCTCCAAAAAGTCAATAGCCTCTTGAATGGGCATGCAATTTTACGGACAAATCTCACTCTGTTTAATACTAAACATGTCCTCTCATACATCGAGAATAGGAATTCCTCACCCAGTGCCTTTTTTATGCCATTCACTGACGAGATTCTTCATCACTATGAAAAATTATTCACGTGTGAGTGGCTCTGTAATGTTGTGTCTCAGTGTATTTACGAAGATAACACTGAAATCATGCTGTCACCTGTGTTAGTGATGAGCTTTGCAACCTTTACAAGACTGAGCATTGCGAAGGATAATATTACAGGACCCCACGGTAGAGAAAACCTAAGTCTAGAGAGAACTACTTCATTCATTAAAATTCTACAGTTTTTAGGTTTAATATCCGCTGTATATGAAACGCACAATGTCTACGATTTTAGAGTCTCCAGTCAAAGTGATGCTGAACTTTTGAATAAGTACTTGTACAGCAGTAATAGCATGCAGAAGCTCTTTAGAGTTAGCGCAGAAGATGAATTGGCAATCATCCGTGCATTGAAAGGTCTCTCACCAAATGATCCTTCAATATATTTTTTGGGCGAAGCTATCCAAAACATTGTCAGGATAAGAGCCCCTGACGCTGAATATCAAGTGAAGTCTTTGATTTACGTGTGTTCGAGAAAAGTTGCTACTCAGCACAATGAAGAGTTTGCAATGGAGGCAGGCATTGTAGCCCCAACGACGAACAATTTAACATTGCAGGGGAGTTATAGACCTAGCGAGAGGATTGACTTAATTTTGATCCTGAAGAAAAAGAGAATGGGTGTCATTCTGACATCCAAATTTGATGCCAACGTGACGGCTGTTTTAAAAGAAATGGGTGATCGTAGATACGTCGAAGTACTCGATTCAGATTCTCGCTTTTCAGAGTTCAACATTAAAGACAAGATGTTGATAGGAATATCTGTGTCACGGAATAAATCTGTTGAAATCGCAGCGGAGGTGTGGAACCAAAACGGAAAAACCACTTTGCAACACGTTATAATAAACAATGTAAGTCAGTGATAATTTGAACTTTGTGGCTTCATCGCTCCAAGCTTTTTTAGAAAATATTTCAAAAAATTAATCTGTACTTTTACATCTGATTTACACATTTTGTACAAATATATATTTAATTTTATATTTTTTTTTATAAATTTGACTTTTTTCAGAATCTTTTCTCTGAAGAAAATGTTAGTTTTAGGCATATTTAATTTAACTAAAAACAACTGTCACTGAGTACGCCATTATTAAATCATTGCACCCAACTATGCGCGCAAGTTCCGAATTATTCACATCTTCCATAGTTCCATGGTAAAACTCTCACGGTTGTTGGTCGGAAGAAACCAGAATCAGTCCAACTGAAGACAATACTTTCCATCCAATGAAAACAATTTTTCCGCTTCTCTGACATGAAGGCGTATCTAAACTCCTACATGAGCCCCAAAAAGCATTGATTTATGTGCGAAATTGAGATAGGCCCATAATATGTCAGAAAGGCGACAATAAGTAACCTAATTACTTCTTATGTCTTATTTTTACAAGATGATTTAGTTACCTCTTTAGAATTTCTTTAGTTTATTCTTCTCAAGAAAAAATTCACGAAAAATTTCGAGGCGTGAATTTGTCACTTTTCCCGTAAAAACATGAATCAGCAGAGGAAATTGAAGCGAGAAATGGTAATATGCTGAGTATGGCTGAAGCCACCAATTTTATATCAGTTGGTCCACGCTCAGAGCCTTCTGGATACCGAGGAAATTAACCCTCGAAAAATACTTCTTTTAGAGTTCTCAAGCTGCTTCCAAGTTCCTTAAATTAGATTCAGGTCTGTCGGTTCTTCGCAAATTATTTTGCCAAAAACTAGAGAAAGCGAAATTCTAAAATATTTTCATGCTTTTTACCTCTTCCGGGTCATACGCATGCACTGAATTCGATAATCATATGACCTAATTACAAGCTGAACGAACAAGAAAACACTTTACATACCTTTGAATTGATAAAAAATTTAAAAGTTGGTCAGTGAGGGACGAAAAGTGTGCAGGGAGCGGGATCATTCGGTGCTTCTTTTCACGTCCAGATGTTTTGATCCAAAGTCGCATATATGATCGTAAGTGCTTATTTTAATTTCAATAACTGAACTTTCTCTTTGTAACGGGCTCAAAGTCATCATTGCTTTTTAAAAAAATCATTGATCATAAATAAAGAAATCACTATGAAAAGCAGGCTCAGAAATATAGAAATACGCTGATCTATCATTTAGTATGTTAAAAACGTAACTTTCCACACTAATGTCCAAAAGTGGCTAATCCTACTTTTGAATTTACATTCGGAGATGTAGCTGTAATCTCAAAGCTATTAAAATAACATTTTGGAATCACTAGACGCGATAATAAATCGGTAACAATACTCGCAAATGGGTCACGGAAAAAATAAAATTCCTGATTTAACGATTCAATTGCTAAAAAAAGTGACTGCAATGTTTCAAAGTAGATTTTGCTACACAAAAATGCTACGTTAAGCACCCTCGTGGTTAAATTAGCTTCCAGTAGTGGTTAAAGTAGCATTTTTTTGTAGTGAAATCTATGTTAAAATATTGCGGTGGCTTTTTTTTAGTAATTAAATTGTTAAATCAGCAATTTAATTTTTTCAACGCTTTTTTTTTCACTTTGAGTGTACACTAAACAATCAATTCTAAGTGAGGCAGATTGCTTTACGTATAGAATCGATATTCACAATGAATTCAAACGGAGAAAAATCAATAATGCCATCCTGCAAGAAGTGCCACTGATGATTCTTGATTGAGCACTAAAACCGAACTTCATCGAGGCAATAGACCAACGGAACTCTTGATGTATAAAATTCAGGCTTCCGTTTTAAAAAAAAAGGTGTGAAAAATTCAAGCATCCGGGATAGTATTTTTGTTGGCCCATCCTATAATGTACTTTCCTACTCTTCTAGGATATCTTTTGATACACGGATTTTACGTCCACTTATTTAGGTATCTGATAGAAAATAGCTAAAAATTCACGATCACGCACCGAGAAAGTCTGAAATACACTGCGCACGTCATCTCGTCACGTCGTACATGCTTAAGAACTACGCGTTTTTTATGCTTCCCGCTTCGAAAACGACATTACGGAACTGATGAACGTTTTGTAAGAGGCTCGTTCCATCCAACCCTTGCGCACGAGAATGTTACGCAATATTCAACTTGGCCGATGCAAACCCATTAAAACTCACATGATGGGACGAGCTTTTATCGACCGGCGTGTTTCTATTTACATTTTCCTTGCGTTGATAAACACCATGGTGCTTCCTCGCAATTTAAGCGCGAAAATGTCAGTTATGTTGAATATTGTGTAGTATCATGGTGCGCAAGGGTTGGATTGAACGACTCTTCTTAAGAAATGTTTACTATAAGTATCGTAGTATCGTTTTCTAAGCGGGAAGCATACAAAACGCATATTTCTTACGCAGATTCTGAAATTAAGAGTGTATTTCGAACTTTTCCGATGCGCTCATCGTGAGTTTTGAACCATTTCCAGTAGTGCAACTCTACTTTTTGATTTAGCTGAAGATTGCAATGGACCCATTTTTTAAGAAAGCTGAAAATTCACAACCATTAAGCTTTTCATTCGCGATGCGTGGAGTACCGATTTCATACGGCACTTATTATAACACATTCAGCATAAAATTAATAACAAACAACGTGTGTATTATATTGCCACTTTCCTGATATAAGGACATAACTAAATTTTCACGGGAGCTATGGAGAGCACAAAGTTATACAGCCGATAACGTTCATTGAAAAAATCGTCATAAATTCTCGGCAAATTCAAGGATAAGTTTCCGTAATACGATCCCTTCAAATTTTATATTTTAAGTTCCTATCTAATCACAAGATTGCTTTTCCTTATTTTTTATTTTATTTATTTTTTTTTGTAGTAACTACATTCTTTTCTGGACACAAGAATGACTCTAAGAGTGCTCATGAAGCATGTAACTGTATTGACATGTGCTCTCATGATCAGCCTACTTATTCCGCGGTCACCAGCAGATTGGGTGGATGAAGAAAAAAAGAAACTTGCGGATAGTTTGAATGCGGACAGTGAGCATTTGCACGAGCCGCTCCGGCCGGAGATGGACGAAAAATTTTTTTTTGGGACGCATCATTCACAGGTCGAATATTTGGTCGTTCATTTTTCCCTTCTATCCTCATGAGTCCGATGGAGCCTACAAAAACTTGACTCTTTATAGAAAAAAATAAATGTATAGAGACAAACATTCTCTCTCTTAACCGAGCAAACAGTTAGACCGTCGGTATACAAGATTTGGCGCTTCAAATAAGAAATAAGGATGAAAATCAAGCTACAAATCAAAAATAAACAAAATGTAATGTATGTCACTACATGATGCTAACTACGAAACAAGCTACAATGATGCTGTCATGTATTTGATTCCATTTCATTTTGATTTTTGCTTGTAGTTCAATATTTCATATTATATTTATTTTGATTTGATAGCTTATAGCCCGCTAATTGGTATTCCTATTTACTTGGAAGTGCCTACTATACGTTGTAATGACGATAATGATATTTGATGATAAATATCAATAAAACTGCGATAGTCCTCGTCTTAGTCTAATTTTAATCTGATTTTTCAGGATCTTGTTTCTTTAAGCTCCGAATTTGCCGAAATTCGGCACAGCAGAGCCTTTGTGGACAAAACACTTTTTCTGTATGAATGGCTGAACTTCCGACCAAAACGTTGGTACGTGACCGCACCCCCTGGCTTTGGCAAGTCCGCTCTGGCAAAGATGGCTGTCCAATTTCTGAACGCCTCTCTCGAAATTGTAAATGGGACGACAAAAATCCATAACAAATACAAGACCGCTGCTTATGAACTTTTCCAAGGCACGCACATTTTCGAGATGAAGGAGTTCGTTGAAGAACGATTCCACAAGTACGCTGTTATATACATCGATCTAGCCCCTTTGAGTAACACTACAGAAGCGACCTTTACAGAGATGGACGACTTCCATTCAAAAGACTTCCACAGATATTTCAAGATGGTAATAAAGAAGATGATTAACTATTATCCAACTCTTCTCCACCACCAGGGCCTATTGGATGCCGAAAGGAGAAGCCTGAAAGGGTATCTAGAGGAAGGGATGGACCCTGATGTGAGCCCACCTAAATTCTGGAATAGTGCATCATTTCTTATACATCTTCTGAAAAAATACTTGGGACTAGATGTCATTGTCATCATAGATAATTATGACGCATTGTGCATTCCTACAATGTTTGGGGATTTTCATCGAGTGCAAAGACCCTACTTAGCTTCATACCTCATCAATTTCAGTGGTATGACAGCTTCAAATGCTGTAACAACGGTCCTGTACCTAGGGTCGTTCAACACGATAGAACTAATGCTTAAAAAACCGTCTCAATCAGCGATACACAAAAAAGCGAATCCGATTACACATACGCCCTTTTCAAATGAAAGGAAACTCGCGCAGTTCTTCGGCCTGTCCGAGGAGGAGGTGGCTGGCATTTTGTCTAAATACTCGATGGAGGATCACTTCAAAATAGTCAATGACCTATTGAACGGGCACGCAGTTTTAGCATCATCCCTCACTCTGTTCAACACTAAGTCTGTGCTTTCGTACATCGAGAATAGAAATTCTTCACCCAGCGCCCTCATAATGCCTTTGACTGCCGAGATTATGTACCTGTACAGAAAAATGTTTGAGAGTGAATGGGTCAGCAATGTTGTGACGCAATGTATATACGAGGATAAAACAAAGATCGCGATACCAGCTGCTGTGAAAATAAGTTTTGCAAGCTTTACAAGCATTACAAGAATAACGCACTTGATCAGTAATTTTACGGCAGACCGTGGTATGAGAGACTTAAGTCTAGAGCATGCCACAGCATTCATCATATTTCTACAATTTTTGGGTTTAATATCAACCTCTGATGAAAAATTTAACGTGTATAGTATAAGGGCTTCCAGTCGTAGTGATGCCGAGATCATGAATGACTACGTTTACCGTAGTGGTAGTATACAGAATTTATTTAAAATTAGTGCAGAGGACGACCTGGCAATGGTTGCGGCTGTAAAAGGTCTAGCTCCAAATAATGATTCAGTGCAGTCCTTTGGCGAGGCTATCTTTAGAATCGTCAAATTAAAAGCTCCTGAGGCCGAGCATCAGCTGAAATCTTTAATTTATGTGTATTCAAGGAAGGTTGCGACTGAGCACGGTGAAGACTTCTCAATGGAAGCTGGAATTACAGCCCCCGTGGTGAATTATGTTAAACCGCCTGGAGAAGGAAAACTTGTGGTCAACAAAAGGATGGATATAATTTTGGTCCAAAAAAAGAAAGGAATTGGGGTCATTATACAATCCAGATTACATTATAATGCAACGTCTGTTTTAAATTCAATGTCTAATTTCGAATATTTCAAAATATTTGACTCTGATCCTCGCTTTTTAAAGCTCGAAATCAAAGATAGGATTTTGGTTGCAATTTCAGTTACACCTGAGAAATCAGTGGAAATTGCAGCAGATGTGTGGCGAGATGACAATATGACCCCTTTAAAAAATGTGATACTGTACATATAATATATATCGAGTCGCTTACAATGTAATTTTAGAAAATGTTATCAGAAGATGAATGTATTCTGATCTCTCCCTTTCCGTAAACGTGTTAATAACTTCTAGTGTTTTTTAATAAAATTGTTGAAAAAAATATGGTTTCAGCTTCTTCAAAATAGATAAAAAAAAGTATCAATTTCTTTCCTTATGGTCCGCTGACATCATTCCTCATACTTGCGCAATCAAGTCTTTCACCTAATGTAGGGTGTTTTAAACCAAATAATGTACGAAGTCTATTTCTTTCTTACATCAATTCATGCACAATGTCAGGGACTTAATGTGCAGGTATTAACCCCACGGAATTAATATTTGAAAAATTTGGAGCCTCTTGAGGCTACCACGTGAGGTTTAAGGGGGCTGAATTTAACATACACGGTTCCCACCTATGTTTTCAGTTGATCATGTTAAATTAATGGAGCCTGGAAAAAATTAATGACTCTTTGATTTTTCGGACTCTGGGTTCAAAGTCAGCCTGGCCCTTACTCAAAATTTGATCTGCCAAAGGTGGAGTTCTGAATCCGCTACTCAACATATTAATTTTTTTTTAATGAATGGTGAAAATTTGTTTGGTGAATTGATGCAGACTCCTTTAGGTATATAGGTATTCGAAAAAAACAAAGAAATAAGTTTCCGGGGAAGTTAGTTCTGATAAATCCGGCCTTCGTAATAGGCTCCTCCGGTTCCGCCCTTAAGGTTGCATCTAGCAGGGTGTGGGGGGGGGGTGGAAGGAGTAAATGTACCTTTCTGTGACGTCAGTTTCCTATTTGACACTCAAAAGGCTCGGTTTTGGTTTCACCTAAAATTATCCAGAAAATATCCGGTATGTGAAGCACCCTGTATTATAGGTGCGTTGACAGGATGTTCTAATTTTTATTAATAGAACCAAATTTGTGGCATGAATGGTCGATTATCGATTTTCCCCATTTAAAGCTGTGGTAAAGAATCGATTATTAAGATGCTCGTTGCAAACGAACTGTTCATTGATACTTTTCTATAGGTTGAAAAGCAGGTCAATCGATAAATTGCGAAGCGATTGTAAGGAACGCATAAGAAATATTATCAGTTACCGCTGCATTGTTCGCTCTGTTCAGGTGATAAAAGGTGCGTCGGCATTTTAGTTTGATTACTCTACACTTCCGTGTGCATTTACAATTTCCTTAAGTCTTTTGATCCAAATGAAAATCCGAAATTATAAGTCAGTATATTTGTTTGATACTTTCGAGTCTCGATGGACGTTTAGATCCGTCATTAGTGACAAAATTAGTCGTTAGAAGCTCGTAGCAAAACAAATCAGCTCAAAAACAGTGCTCAACAAATTAAATGCATTGAGAACATATTGAATATCAAATGTGAAGTGCATACTTAGAATATACTTTCACCATTGTGTTTATTTTACAAGATGCCAGGCAACCTCGGGAGTAGTTGATACCTAAAATCATCCAGAAAAGCATCGAGCCCTATAAATTAGGTAGGTTTACTATTATTTCATTAATAAAACATAACCTCAAAGACACGTGTCATACACTGGAAAAAAAAACACATTGGATCTAGAGTCCAGACTTTTGAAAACATTGGCAAGACAAAACACTCTTGATTCAATCAGATTTTTGCTTAAATTAAAAGGAAATCCGCTCGAATTAAGAGGCTTGGTTCTTGATCCAAGCAAAAATCCGATTAAATCAAGATTATTTTTTCTTGTCGGTGTTTTTAAGAGTCTGGACTCTAGATCCAATGTGTTTCTTTCCTGTTTATCAATGGAATTCCTGATTCTGAAATTCCTTTCGTTGATTTTTAAGTAATGTTTGAAATAATATCATGTAGCAATGATGGGAATAAACAACGATCCTTTTACTCGTACAAAAGTTGTCTTACAAGCTGACGCTTCTCATTCAATTTGTTCTTCGAAAGTTTGATATCAAACGGGGGACAAAATAATCGTTTGAGTCGCAATTTAGGCTTGGACCTTAACCTGCATATTAGATGCTTTAGAAATTCGAAGTTTTCTGGAGGAGGCCCTCGACCCCCCTCCTTTCCTCCCGCTCCATGTGTCTAGATCTGCCTATGCCGAATGAATGCGAATTTTTAGGTTGTCTATTAAATTTTTCTAAATCTCCGATTTCAATGTCTTCTTTTTACAGCGATGTCGTTTGTTGCAAGAATGACAAAGCAAGAATGACAAAGGGAATAAACATGAAGAAAATAGTACTAATGTTGTGCATCTCCTTGATTGGCCGAACTTTCTCTCAAGCGCGTGTAGACTGGGCAGATGACGAAAGAAAGCATATCTCAGATATTTTGGATGCGAATAATGGAAGACTTCACCAGTCGTTTTGGCTCGGCTCAGATGGGAAGAAATCTCAACCAGGCTTAGCTTCAAATGCGCAATCGGTGGACGGAAACGAATGCAGAGCGAAGAGTGATTCACTGGTTGAGTACTTCTTTATTTTTTATTGATTTTTTTTTATTTATTATTTATTGACAGGCAGCTAATTTCCGAAATACCCCCCCTCCCCTTTCATGCAATCAGGCATCTTGAGACACCAAAAATAATCCAAAATAATTTTGTTTTAATGCTCGCGATTACTGTCATCTCAAGGAAGAGACTAATACACAAGAGAGTGTGCGAAAAATGACTGTACGTGAAACAGCCGTAAATGCTTCAAAAATAACATAAATGGGCCGTGTTAAGTAAAAAGCAACCACATCAGTTATTGCCAAATTTGATTGGACGACGTAATTATTTTTTTTTTTATGAAAACGGTTGTGCGGATTTTTGTGCAAATTTCAGTGAATTTTCTGCATAGTATGAAGCAATTTTTTTAAAATTTCCAAAGGAATCCGCACAAACGGTCTCTTGTATAAAATTAAATTGCCCAGTTAAATTTGCCAATTGCTGATGTGGCTTGGATTTTTTTCTGCTTCTAGGCAAAATTCGCCCATATAGGAACCATGAGGCGCGCATTAGGCTTATTTTGCTCAAACATTTGAGAGACTTATTGTTTTACACTTTTTGCTCTTTCCTTGCATAATAGGGTTGTCCAACATAATATTTAGGATCCTTAGAGTATTTCCTTTTTTTTTTCAGGATCTTGACCCATCAAGCGCAGAATTCTCTGAAATCCGAAACAGCAAAGCATTTGTTGACAAGACATTTTTCCTCTACGAATGGCTGACCCACCAACCTAAGCAGTGGTACGTCACTGCACCTCCTGGTTTTGGCAAATCCGCCCTTGCAAAAATGGCCGTTCAGTTTCTGAACGCCTCGGTTGAAATCGTGGACGGTGTGGAGAGGTTTCGCGACAAGCATAAAACCGCTGCATATGATCTTTTCAAGGGCACAGATATTTTTGAGATGAAAGACTTCTTCGACAAACACTTTCAGAACTACGCCGTGGTTTACTTCGACTTAGCCCCTTTAAGTTGTACCACGCAGGCTGCTTTCATAAAAAATGATGCCTTCCAAATACAGGACTTTCATAAATACCTCAGGATAGTGATAAGAAAAATGATGAGCTACTATCCATCCCTCTCCCTCCACCAAAACTTAACAGCCTCGGACAGAGAAAACTTAAAATGGTACCTAGGCGGGATGGACGACGCAGTGACGCCGAATAGATTTTGGAAGAGTCCGTCTGTTTTGATACGACTCCTACGAAAATGCCTAAAGAGAGATGTTATCGTTATTGTAGATGCCTATGATGCGCTGTGCAAACCTGCCTTGATCGGGGAACTGTCCAAAATACAAAGACCCTATTTAGCCTCGTACATCATAAATTTAAGTAAGATGGTAATTCAAGACGGACAGTCAACGGCCCTTTATCTAGGGACGTTCAAAACCCTAGAGCTAATGCTGCAAAAACCTGGAGAAGAACATTCGAAGAAAATAACCATGTATCGTATTGAACATTCGGCTTTTTCTGATAGTGAGCGCGTCGCTAAGTACTTCGGGTTATCCAGGCAGGAGGTCACGGCAGTTTTAACTAAACATTCAATGCAAGATCACTTCAACCTGGTGGACAATCTTCTAAACGGACACGCTGTTTTAAATTCGTCTTTAACTTTGTTCAACACTAAATCTGTAATGTCATACGTTGGAAATCGAAATGCTACACCCACCGCTGTGGCTGTTCCATTCACTGCCGAAATCTTGCGGAATTATGCGAAGATGTTCTCGAACAAATGGCTCAGTGATGTACTTACTCAGTGTATATTCAATGATAAAGCTGAGGTCTTGCTTTCACACAATGTGCCGTTGAATTTCGCGAGTTTTGCAAGACTTAAAGATTTACTCGTTAATAATCCAAGTGCTGTTAAAGATACGTTAAAGTTAGAACATACGTTAACGTTCATAAAAATTTTGCAGTTCTTGGGTTTGATATCGGTCATCGATGAGAAAGCTGATACTTGTCATCTTAGAGCCTCAAGTTGCAGTGATGCTGAGCTTATAAATAAATATTCGTTTAACAGTGGAAGCGTACAAAGATTCTTTAAAATTAGCGCAGATAATGAATTGGGTATGGTTCGCGCGGTAAAAGGACTTGCACCGGATGACGATTCAATGCAGTCCTTGGGCGAAATAATTCATAGCATCATCAAAGTCAAAGCCCCTGAGACTGAGTATCAGATGAAAGCTTTGATGTATGTATATTCAAGGAAAATTGCAACTTATTACAATGAAGATTTTGAGATGGAGGCCAGCATTGCAGCGCCTGATGGGGCGAATTTGACATCGAACGGAGATGGTGAAATTGGTACCAGAAAGAGAATTGATATAATTCTGCTTCAGAAAAAGAAGGGTTTAGGCTTTATTCTGGTATCTAAACTCAATACTTCTGCAATTTCTGTTTTAAAAGAAATGTCTGAGAACAGATATTTCGAAATACTAGACTCAGATCTCCGTTTTTCGAAGCTGAAAATTAAGCAGAAGGTTCTGATTGGAATTTCTGCGACACAGAATAAATCTGTGGAAATTGCAGCGGAGGTTTGGCATGATAACGAAAGAACAAGTCTAAAAAATGTCGTATTTAATGGCACAAGTTTTGTATGATCTGGAATTTCACTTACAGACTACACAGAGTCTCGAAAGAATTACTGTAAGGTGTATTATATTACTGTACAATGTATTTGTAAATTGTGCGCAATTCAATTTTCCTGTTGCTTTAGTGTCTGTGTCATAGAAATCTGTAGTGCCTTCATTTTTCTATGAGTGTGCCATGAGCATTCTTTAACAGCAGAAAGTTTAATTCAGGCGTTGCCTATCGATACCAGTGCCCCTTCATTTCTTTATTTATGCAACAGGCACAACCTTCAGGCAAGAATAGTTGCATGCAGTGCCCGTAAAAAAGGGAGTATATTACTTCTGTCCTCATTTTTATGTTTATTCTAGAGACTTTCGTATTGCTCTTATTTTTTCATGTATGTATATAGTTCAGTGAAAATATTAGTTTTAAGAACTCTGGAGGTTACTTGTCAGATAGATAAGAGGCAATTTCAGAATAGTATCAATATTCCTGCGTAATGGTTAGCCTTATCTTAATCTAAATTTAATATTTTTAAATAATTTATTTATCCATTTCTCATCTTAAAGATCATGAACCATACGAATTTTATTTAAAGTTTTGCTCCTAAAAAATTTATGATATGCCATATGTCTAAGAATTTTCGAGAATGTTCCCCTGCGGCACACCTGTAACTATGTCTGATTGGGCTCATATTACGTTTTATAACAAATCTAAGTATAAATAGAACGCACGTGAAAGCTCTTAAGTTGCTGCTGAATTGATAAGCACTTGAAGGTTCGTTGATAGAAGAGTAATGGATAGAAGAAAAAAATGCCGACAGTTTAGTGGAAGGACCCAGCACCTCTGTTCATGTTCGTAATTTGCTCCGTGCTTTTTGGTCCAAAGCCAATCATAAAGTGTGAGTACTTTCATGTTTTCCTAAAAATGTGTTGTTTCTCGATTAAGACTCTAGGTCATCATTTATATTGAGACGAGTTAATTAACAATGGACAACGTTGATCTGTTGTCTTGACGTCACAAATGAGACCTTGACATTGAACTACAATAATCGCCTGCTCTGATTCCTTAATTTATATTCGAGGATGTAAAATTAATCGAGAGGTTGTCAAATTATTAGTTGGTGTTATTAAATACGATGAAAATTCACCAGTGCTAAATTAATATAGTTAAGCTATAAAGACACGCGCCTTACCGAGAATTTTAGATTTTTATGATTGACACACTGCTTCTTAAAGTGGGGCGTGAAGTGATGTCACAGCGATTGTATTGATGAAGAGGTCTGTGATAATTAGGACTGATAGCTTGGTAGTTGAGCCTTTCACAAAACCGCAGTCGAAGCAGTGGCGCGGCATGAATGATCGATTATCGATATAATTCCATTTGAAGCTATGGTAAAGAATCGTAAGGTATTCGTTAGAGACACGCTGTTTATCGATCCTTATATCCATAGGTTTAAAGGGCAGATCAATCGATATATCGCAAAACACGTCATGCTACTGAGTCAAAGTTGACGTTTTTTGTTTTTTCCACGCCTGATATAAAAATAAACCTTCTAAATGTTTGAAATATTGTTCAATCGATTTTTCATGTCATATAACAACTCAAATATTAAACTAAAATGTAAACTAGTCATGAATTACACTACTTGCTGAATGTATTAATTTCCTAAGTATTTTGCCTTCTTCTTTTAGGTATTTAAAATTTTTCCTTGCCATTCACTTACTTTCTATTCTTATGGAATCTCAATAAACTGTTTCCGTAACCTATTACGATAATCAAGATTTCTTGCAAATATGATAATCATGATTACTTATTGAAAATGAAGCATCGAACACTTGGCTATTTATGGTAGAATGCACAGTGCTCCGTGAGTTGCTAAATGTTGTTAAATTATTTTAGCGTCAAAGGTGCTCAGAGCTTTGGTAAATAAAAACTGCACCGACAAGGGATATTGTCTTTATCAGAGAAAAAACATGTAACAAAATCAAAAGACCTTTTATTATAACCACGAGAAATACATTACGATAAGTAAACACTTTTTGTTGAGAAAGGATAGCTTTGTAAGCTGTTCTTTCGGTTAATTAAGTGTTTTGTCCAAAGCAACGTGATACAAGTAAGGAGAGAGTTTTCTTATAATAATAGATTAAATTTTTCTCGATTGGTTGGACTCTTCGGTGATATTTTCCCTTAATTTTCTCTATATTTCATCCGTTTACCCGAGAATCGAATGAATTTTCTTTATTTTTTCCTTAGGATCTACACGATTTTTGAGAGGCTAGAATGAAGATGAAGCAAGTGAAACTTATGATTTACATTTTTGTGATTGGCCAGTCTTTTTCGCACACACATGCAGAACAATTCTCAGCCTCAAATCTACATACATCGGACGAAGGTGAAAATCGAACGAATCATCATTCAGTGGTTGAGTACCCCTTTCGTTGCCATCCCTTCTTCTGAGACCAATGGAGTATATTTCAAGTCTAAATAAGANAAAAAAAAAAAAAAAAAAAAAAAAAAAAAAAAAAATTAAAGCGACCATGTCCCCGATTCTCTTTTTACCGGACGGGGCAATGTAATTTCGTATTTTCATCTCTATAAAAAAGAAGTCAATAAGAAGAATCGTAACTTGTTTTGATTCTAAAACCGAGTATTGCTGACTTCGATTGTCACGTCTCAAAAGTTTCGTTCTTACGCTATAACCTCAAAAGAAAACTAAAACATTCACTACTTTTTTTTCTGACGGAAGGTTTTTATTGGTTTATTTATATAATCAGCAAAATTACCTCAATTAAAACAGACCGCTCTCTCTCATCAAACTGAAAGTCACGGTTAGTTTTAAAATACATTTTAACTCCAATTTGGCTGGCTTTCATGGAACACGGTGAAATGATTTAAAAAATAATCGAGCTACATCGTTAGTTTGAAATGTCCCAAAACGAAGGGCGTACCATTTTGTGTTTTCAACATTTATACTACAGATGGAAGATGTTCAGGTGAGATAGGTTGGATAGGATGTGTTCGTTGCAAACAACGTGTTCATCGATCCTTTTTTCATAGGTTTAAATGCCAGATCAATGTATCGCAAAGCATGCCACGTCATTGGACTACATTTACATGTTTCACTACGAAGGCAATTATGTCCGTAAGTCAGAGGGGCAACAATTCGAGAGTCTCAACATCAAAACATTTTCCACTGTGATCGTTTCTTTCAAAAAAGAGCAAAACTACGTTTCAATGTTGCTAGATTATTCCGCGCAAATTGCATTGTTACCAAGATAGCAAGAATCACCAAGATTTACCAAGAAACACCAAGTTACCAAGATTTCTGACTGAAAATTTCACTAATTTTTCTTCTGATCTCAAAAGAAATTCGTATAAATTTTCGACGAAAATTATGCAGGTTAAGTAAAAATATTGGATTTTTTAAGTCAATATTGCATCCTTGGAATGGAGTTACATCCCTGGTGCTGGAGGCGACGTTGTGAAGCTGACAAAGAGGCTCAATAGCTTTAAGGTTAAGCATTTTAATAGGAATACAAAATAATTCGCAGGATTCATGCATTTTTATTTTTATTTGTATTTCTTTTTCTTTTTAGGATTCCATTCCCTCAAGCTCAGAGTTTTCCGAAATCCGGCACAGCAAAGCCTTCGTTGACAAAACATTATTCCTCCACGAATGGCTAACCGAACGTCCGAAGTACTGGTTTGTTACTGCACCCCCTGGCTTCGGCAAGTCCGCTCTTGCGAAGATGGCTGTCCAGTTCTTGAACGCCTCTTTCGAGATCGTAAACGGGCAGGCACGGTTCCTCGAAAAGGCAAAGACACCCGCGTACGCATACTTCGAAGGCACGAACATATTCAATAATAAAAGTTTTTTCGAAGTGCACTTTCAGAACTACGCTGTCGTATACATCGACCTAGCTCCCTTACGTCAGACCACGGAGGCTGTTTTCATAAAGGAAGATGACTTTCGCGCGCAAGACTTCCATAAGTACTTCAGGGAGGTGATAAAGAAAATGATGAGCTACTATTCATCCCTCTACTTCCACCAGAGCTTGACAAAATTCGAGAGGAAGCACTTCAAGGAGTATTTGGAGGAGGGAATGGAGGAAAGGTCTCGCCCAATTACGTTCTGGAATAGTGCATCATTCCTGATGCATCTCCTGAGGAAAATCTTGAGACTGGACGTCATTGTAATTCTTGATAACTATGACGCAATGTGCATGCCTAGTATGTATGGGGATCTGTTTGGTGTGCTAAGGCCCTACCTGGCTTCGTACCTCATCACTTTCAGTAGGATAATTATTGAGAATAAAAAGACCTCCGTCCTGTACCTTGGATCGTTCAAAACTGTGGAAATGATGCTTAAAAAACCAGGGACTAAGAATACGACGTCTCCTATTACACATTCTGCATTTTCAAGTGATGAGAAAATCGCAAAGTACTTTGGACTAACCGAGCAAGAAGTTGGTGATATATTGTCTAAATATTCGATGGATGATCATCTTCCAGTAGTGAATGATCTTCTAAACGGACATGCAGTTTTACGGTCGACTCTCACTATGTTCAACACTAAATATGTGCTTTCGTACATCGAAAATAGAAATTCTTCACCCAGTGCTTTTACAATGCCTTTGACTGTTGAAGTTCTGAATCACTACAAGAAGCTATTCACGAGTGATTGGGTGACTAATGTTCTATCCCCGTGTATATATAAGGACAGAACTCAGATCAAGCTATTTACTTCCATGTCAGTAAGTTTCGCAAGCTTTACAAGGCTCACAAAATTGAACGATAATGATACAGAGGTCCATGGTAGGGAAAAACTAAGTCAAGAAAATACGATGTCTTTCATCAAAATTTTACAGTTTTTAGGTCTGATATCTGTTATCGAAGAAAAGACCAATGTTGACGTTTCTAGGGCAACAAGTCGTTGTGATGCTGAGTTTATGAATGATTATTTGTACAGAAGTAATACCGTACAGAGATTCTACAAGATGAGCCCAGAACAAGAACAGATGATGGTCCACGCTTTGAAAAGTCTTGCGCCGAACAATGATTCCATTCAGTCTCTGGGCGAGGCTATCCATAATATCGTAAAAGTAAAAGTCCCTAAGTATGAAGATCAGCTGAAATCTTTGATGTATGTTTTTTCAAAGAAGGTTGCAACTCAGTATAGTGAGGATTTCTCGCTGGAGGCCAGGATCTCAGTCCCAACGATGGAAGATTCGAAATCGAATGGGGTTTGCAAACCTGATGTCAAAGAAAAGGTAGATTTAATTTTGCTCCGAAAGAATGAGGGGCTAGGTATCATTCTGATTTCTAAATTAGATGTGAATGTAACTTCTATTTTAAAAGAAATGGTAGACCGTAAATATCCTGAAATACTGGACTCAGATCTTCGTTTTTCGAAGCTTAAAATTAAAGATAAGCTACTGGTAGGCATTTCAGTCACGCAAGATAAAGTGGTAGAAATTGCAGCGGAGGTTTGGCGTCAAAACGAAAAAACTAGTATAAAACATGTTATTTTGAATAGCACGAATTCCTCATAACCTAAATTCTCATGATATAGTTAATTGATTAAAATTGTAGAAAATTTTCCAAAATTACCTCGTTTTTAGGTGTATATTTTTTCCTTAATGTTGACTCAACAAAATGTATGTTGCTCTATTTATCGGAGAATATTCACATCTGCTAAAAATTTCATTACGAAAAACACCGGAGTTAGCAGATGTTACATTGTGCTTATATCGTAAATAGTTCTTAAAAATTTTGTGGTGATTAATGGATGGACATTATAAATTTATTCAAACACTAGATTATGCACTATTTGTTTATGGAAAAATAATAATGTATTTAATATTTTTGCTGATTTTGACGCCATCTTGGAGATACAATTGACATTTCTATCCAAAATGCCCTGGTAAAAATTGGCAGTAGAATCTGTGTTCCAAAATACCATAGACCTACGGCCGGCTGTAAGATTTCCAATAGCTTCTATAGCCGGTTACACAATTTCTTATAGCCTTATATAGCCGATGGCGATTAAGCAACGGCCAGGTGATAAAGTGTATGCTAAACGTCACTAATTACGGATGCTAGGACTTAGTGAGTTTTTGGACCACTGCTCTCTTTTTTGGCCGTAGTATCTTGATTTATTTTGCGAGGAAAGCTCCGTACTTTTGATGGATGCCTTTCCATTCCTAATATATTAGAGCGCCTTCAGTTTCGTATGATACTGTGCAATACCTCTGGTGTGAAATAGTTGCTTCAAGCGCCGTGGCACGCTGCTGCGGTGCGGCAGGCGAGCAGCCAGCGCGAAACGCGCATTGGCGCCTACAAACCTAACAGGGATACTTCACGCGTTGCGCAATGCGTGAAGTATCCCTGTTAGGTTTGTAGGCGCCAGTGCGTCGCCGCTCCCCTTTGTGTTAGGTTCTAATATATAATCTGCCGGAGTCAGCGTTATTCAACTCATGATTTTGAAATGTTTGCACATCCTGTATGGATTATTCTCGTTTTAATTGATGAAAAAAAAAAAAATTGTATTAAAGGAAAATATAACGTGTGTTTTATAAATATTAAGGTGGTTCCGTTATCAAACTTAATGATTTCCAAAGCACACGAATTTCTACACAATTTCTTATAGCCTTTTATAGCCGATGGCGAAAAAGCAAAAGCCGTATGATTTTCTCCGCACTCTATAGCCAGCTATATGATTTTCTGTAGCCTTCTTTTGCCGGCTATAAGAATTCCTATGGTATTTTGAAACGCAGCTCTTATCGCCAATTTTTACCAGGGTGACTTTAAAAACTGATAAATTCCACCAGAAATAAAGTTGATTCAGTAACCATACTTTTGATTTTCCCAAAAATCTATTGTAGACATGCTATTTAATCTATGAAATTTTTCCACCGTGTAAATATTTAAAAAAAAAAGTATTAGATATACCTTTAGTCATATTTTTGTACATTTCTTTGTTGATTAAAATGAAGTTTTTACATAAACATAAAAACTTGCTGAATTCTGCCAGATATAGGAAGAACGCCGTATGAGCTTTCAGGCGTTGCTATATATCCTTTAATAAAGGATGAGTTTACTGAGAAACTTATGAATATTTTTCTTCAAATCTTTCATGCAATTTTGTACACAATTAGTCTAAAATATCTGATAATTACAAGGGAAAATACACATAACTTTTTTCAAAACAAAATGTTTTCTGAGAGGAAATTTGGCAACATTTGAATGTTCTTACGGCGTTTTTCCTTTGCACCGCAGTATTCCTCTTCACTCTCGGAAGCGCTCCTCAAACGCATGCTCACAAAATTATTAGCACCGTCATCCCAGCGCTAACAAATTTTGTCACAACCTCCCACTAAACACAGTCGCCAAATTTCATCTCCCCCTACACCACCCCACCCAAAAACCATAGCATTCCAAGACGAAACTTCGTTGGCAACGTCGCAAAGCCGCGCTCGACGGGTCGCAATCCCGGGTAACGGACGCGTCGTTACTGCTGTAACCGATCGGCTAATGCGCGATCAGAAAGTCATCTCCGTGTGACAAGCCAAGGTTAATCAACTTATGGGAATGAGTCGCGACTCGCGACCGGAAAACCGCTCAACTCCAACGTAAAAGACTACGCGCATCCGCGGTTTTCGCTTGCAGCAATGCAAAGCCGGCCTAAGTCAACAGCAATCGTCAGANGGGGGGGGGGGGCGGACGGTTCCATCACTCATCAGACGCATCACACTCCGTGACAGAATGCGGAATCGGACCGAGGGTGAAATCGTAAGCAGATATGACCGAGGAGGAACCGGGGAGTAACGGTGGTTGGTACTCGGGTTTGCCAACGCTCGATGGCGGCCGGATCGGGTTTTATGACGCGGAAATAGCACGGGAAGAGTTACGGTACGGATGGACGCGGAGCTTTTATTTCGACAGTAATTTGAATTGTACATGTTACTTTATTTTCTGGAAATCTTGGGTTAAATTCGATAATTCGTTTTATGGGGTCGAATTTTGCCAGCTCTTTCATCCAGAGATGCAACATCCATCGATGAGTCCAAACCGCACCACTGGCCAATCAGAAGCGATATAAGCCGGACTTAAGTGCAGTTCAGACTCGTCCTAAGTATATTTAAGTACGGTGGAAGGACCTGCAAAATTCGGCTCTTGTATTAGAAGGATACATCACGCGACCGAGTGTATCTTCATAGCGAAACCTTAGGTTACATTCGTTCGATTATCCATCATTTGGCGCCAAAAACATTGACAAATTCGAAACATTTAAAAAATTCCGTTCGGCAGCGATTTTAAATTTACGGACAGCTGAAGTCAGCTAAAAGCCTTATTACTTGGACCGTGTTCAGCAGAAAGGAACCAAGCCACACCAGTTATTGCAAAATTTAATTGCGCGATTTAATTTTTTACAAAAGCAATTTTGTGCGGATTCCTTTGAAAATGCTAAGGAATTTGCTTTGAAGAGTGCAGAAAATTCACCGAAATTAGCACAAAAATTTGCACAACCGTATTCATTTAAACATTTAAATTGCCTGATTAAAAGGCAATAGCTGACGGGGCTCGGTTCCTTTCTGCTTAACGCGGTCCATATTTTCCTCTCAAAATCTCGCGTTGAAAAATATTTATTAGATTCAGGAAATTAACCTGTGGGATTGAAAGAAAATTTAATTTGCGTGAGGTACTTACAGGCAAAGTAGAACACAAGAGAGGCGACTAGGATTGATATTAGGAGAGTAGCTACTGAGCAGCAGTAGCAGCGGTAATGTTTGCTCATTTTTCGTGTGAAGCGGATGTCACTGTCAGAGGAGAGAACTGAGCTTGGAGTTTCCGAACGTCCGCCAACACCATACGCCTTGCATCCATTCATTGATTTGCCTGATATCTGTAACAAGAAATGTCAAAGTATGAAGAATGTGAATGAAAACCTTCCGAAGAAAAATTGAAAAAAAAAAGTCTCCCAAAATACAAAAAAAAAAAGAAATACAAATAAGAAAAAAACTCGCAATCAAAAAAGTAACAAAGAAGACTGTTCAAACTACTTGAATATTTTTTTAATATTCAATTGTATTAACCACTTGAACATCATTATTTTCGCTTGGTAACTAAAAATCAGCTTATAATGGTTCACTATTTTACAAAACGAATAAAATTATAGAAAAGCAATCTCATTCGCGAAAAAAGTAGTTACTTTGACAATTAGGCACCAGGCAAAGTCTTGAGCAGCAGAGAAGGCAATTGCCGGCTAATTCTATCGCTTCCGACGATCAGTTAATTACGCGTCGATAAACCATCAACAACGTCCAGCTGAGAGCAATTAAAGGGATCAGGAACAAACGGTAGCTATTTCACCACGGTCATTAGAAGTTTTCTCGATAATTGCTGTGTGTTGATCGGCATGAACATTGCCTCCTGATTGCTCAGGGAAAGGCTGATCGGTTATCGCGACAAAACATCATCTTACCTAAAATCGCACACAGAGAGTAAAAAGTATCTATCGCTGGCCAAAAATCGTTGTCTCTCTCGCGAAAGAATGTAACTTTGCTTCAATGCTGCCAAATTTTGCCGCGCAAATCGCACTTTAACCAGGAGAAGTTTGAGAATTTCGAAATTTAAAATTTTACAGACTTTCCCTCTTAACTAGTGTAAAAATCGGACAAATTTTTAATAAAAATTGCGCAGGTACATTCTTGTAAAACATCGAATTGTTTGAGTCAATTTTGCAACCTTGGAATGGAGTTACGTTCTTTTGACCGCGTAACGACAAAATCCGTCCATAAAGAAAACTGTACAATTTATTGGCCCTTAGAGGTTTATAATTTCGTCCCAACTGCCAAACAACGAATCTCAGAGGGTCGTCCAAATTTAGTGTGCAATGAATTTCGTATTAAAAAATACGTAATTTTGTCCTGAAGGACTTGATTTTGCTGACTGTGCTACGATAGGATAAGGCTAATGGACAAATTAGATCTGACATTCATCAATACGGGGGTTTCAAACAGTTACTTTTACGTTTGCGGGCCTTTCACTCCGCATGCCTTATCTGATTACTTTGTCGGCAAATTATCGTCGATTGGACGTCGTCGTTTCAAATCCAACGCAAAGAGATTTTTATAATGTTACCGATGATATCAAGCATTCCATCAGTTTCGTCATTTGGACGTATATATGCTACAACGAACTATGTGTATAGGATTTGCGCACAACATAGTTCCTTTTATAGCATCAATATGTCCATTGTATAAATTAATTCAACGTTCGTTCTTAATATGGATGTATAGTGCATAGGCGGATCCACATTTCAAACGCGGAGAGGGGGAGGAAGTCTGGAAAATTTCCCCAGATTATTTCCAAAATTTACATGAGTCCAATATGCAGTATGCGTTAATTCTGTTATGAATAATTACCAAATGTAAGCATGGTTCCTATTTCCGACTGTTCTTTCCTTCTGTATTCTCCCCTTTTCTTCCTGCTCCTTTCTTCAAGCAGACGTGGGGGCTTACGTTTCTTACCCTCCCTTTGATCCGTTCATGGGGCTCGTATTTTACAACCAAATGAAAATAAGTATATTTTAGAGTGTATAGCCAGTATGCCCACAAACTGTATTCATTGTAAAAATAAAACGGTAAAAAGAATGTGTAGTTTACTTTTCTAACCTTGCGTTTAAGTCTCCGAAGCCGTGTTTTTTATTACTCAATGATAGTTAGTGTGTTTTAGAATGTTTTAGCCAGTATGCCCAAAAAACTGTAAGCAATTTAAATTTAAAAACTTAAAAAGAACGTGCAGTCTACTTTGCTAACCTTGCGTTTAAGTCTCCAGAGCTATAGAAGTGGATCACATCTATAAATAAGGGATTGGAAAACCTTGTGGGTTTATTGAATCTATAAGTTTTGATGATGCTATCAAATATCATCGACATATGTTTGAAAAATTAAAAAATTTATTGACTTTTTCTAGTTTAGTAACTTACTTGGACCCTCGAGTACCCGCGTTACTCGCTGCGAGTATTCTTCATTCCTTTGTAAAATATGGCTATAATTTTAGCAGTATTTCTCAGTTATGTTCCGCATGAGTAACTTTTTTAAAACTCTCAATGTCGTTATCACCTTTTCTCAGATAAAAGAACGCAACTTCATCGCTCGGTCGCAAATTGACCAAAACAATGTATTTCTTTACACCAATCTGTGTGCGCAATCTCCGTCCGAAATTTTGATAATTTTGCTTGTGATCCGCAGCAAAGTCGGCAAAATTTTCACTTAAAAGTACTTAACAGTCTCTAGGCTAGAGTAAAACTTGCAAGAGGAATCTTCGCGACGTAGAAATGTTGTTACGTTCTTACATTTGGAAAACAAGGATATGTAGTCCCTTCATTTCTCTCGCTGCTCCAGGCAAATAAATGTTCAAATATATCTCAAAACTACAACATTGCTTTACGAGGGCGCTAAACTCACGTGAGAACCTCTCGAATTGCGCTTTAACTTGGATAAAAAGGTGCCGAATTCCGATCCACTATCTGACAAGATCATGCTTGGCGTTGTTGCCAGAATGGTAATAAAATCAACGTCTTACAGTTTGGTGTTTCTTCATAGAGAGTGTGATAAGTGCCGTTTTGGCATCCGTTTCGATCGATCCTTTGGCTCAACGGAAGGTGGACGGTGGATGCGGAACGGGTGTGTGCATAAGAGCGGCGGCTAATGAGATCACCATTTCTTGGGGGGACTCCGTCACTTGAACAGTGTTGCCAAATCGGATGGTTATTAAATGACACTTTGGCAGCTGAGTATTGGACTTCTGATGTTATAAAATTAGGTTATATTTAGATGAACATTGTAAATAACTTAAATCAACGAAAAAACGTATCTCGATGAAGCTGGTTTTTTTTTTTTTCAAAGAATGGTTTTTGACAATTCTGTGCCGACTTTCAGGGAATATGACCGGAAAAGTAAATGGATATCACTTTCTTGCATCAGTCCTGGCACTGGAAAAAAAAAAACACATTGGATCTAGAGTCCAGACTCTTAAAAACATCGACAAGAAAAAGTACTCTTGATTCAATCAGAATCTAGCTTAAAACAAGAACCAAGCCTATTAATTTAAGCGGATTTTGTTTTGATTCATGCAAAAATCTGATTGAATCGAGAGTATTTTTTCTTGTCAATGTTTTCAAGAGTCTGGACTTTAGATCAAATGTGTTTTTTTTTTTTTTTTTTTTTTTTTTTTTTTTTTNTTTTTTTTTTTTTTTTTTTTTTTTTTTTTTTTTTTTTTTTTTTTTTTTTTTTTTTTTCCCAGTGTGCAGTTACGATGATCAGACATTCGCCTACAAAGTAAAATTTCACAGATAACCTAAAACGTTGCAAATCGAGAACGTGATGATGTTAGTCACGTCTTACGTCATCATGTATGTAAAGATTTGATAACTAACGTGATTCATTAAAATTACCTACGTTCGGTATTTCTGGAAAAACGCGCATGAGTATAAGAATTCGTTTGGATTCTAAAAAGTAATTTTGACGCTAAAATGACAAAATGTAAATAAAGACCATTAAATTTGTACAGAAGTGCTCAAAATAGTTTGTTTTCTTTTTTTTTCTCTCTTAAACTCACGCATCAAAATGAACTATGAAGTCAATTCCGAGATTGATTGTCGGTACAGATGGTCAGGGGAAGCTATTTGAGAATTGAAAAGAAATTCTTGCCAATCCCGCCAAAACAATTGAAATTAAAGTTTCGAAGTAAAACTATTAAACTACCAGTAGCTTTACAACGCTTCTAGTCTGGCAAACATCCTGACTTTTCGGTTTTTATTTGCAATTTTGTGTAGGAAAATGAATTGATCCTTGCGACGTCCGAACTTCACTGTAATTGTTCTATGTGAAATTTCGTGACTGCTTTACGTCTAAAATGGAAGATTTTTGCATTCAATTTTGTAACTGCGTGAGACTTTTCGAGTCGCATCCGTTGTCAACGAGTCATCGTCCAACAGTCAACAGTCACCGGTAATTATGGAGGCCACGGTCACGCTGGGTCCGGCCGGCCGCTCGAATTCCTGAGTCACCACCGCCCTGCGATCAGAATTCCGGCAAAAATATTCGCCTGAGAATTCCCTTTCTTCGTTCTGATCAAGTTCTAAAGGCTCGGTTAGATGATTGCCCACGCAAAATCCTACGATGACGAGCACTTCGTAGTTTGGAGAACGACCTCTACATACTCGTATGCCAAAGTAAGTCGAGCAAATATGTACACTGGAAAAAAAGCACATTAGATCTAGAGTCCAGACTCTTGAAAACATTGACAAGAAAAAATACTCTTGATTCAATAAGATTTTTGCTTAAATCAAAAGGAAATCCGCTCAAATTAAGCGGCTTGGTTCTTCATTTAAGCAAAAGTCCGATTGAAACAAGAGTATTTTTTCTTGTCGGTGTTTTTAAGAGTCTGGACTCTAGATCCGATGTGTTTTTTTCCAGTGTATAGTTGTAATAACAACTCACTGTAGCTAAACCATAAGATGAATAAAAGTAGCCTTGCATGGTTATCATCCGTTGATTTTCCTTTTTTCACAAAGCTTTGAATTGCCATGCTGCAGGCCAATTATTGAAATTGATAGACAAAGCGATAGACAAAGAAGATAAAACGGATATGAAGAAATCCTATTGGTTAGGGAGAAAATTATGGACTAACCATAGGGTCCCTCGTGAGTTGGTGTTAGTTAGTCTATTATCTAGCTCCTTTGTCCATTGCAACTACCCGTTTCCACAAATAGGATCCCTTCTTATCCCTTTGTCTTCCTTGTCTATAGCTTTGTCTATCAATTTCAATAATCAGCCCGCTGACCTGCTTTTAATTCTTATTCCCACAGAAACTGTATATTCCTGTCACTCCTGCTAC